GAGCCGGTGGGGCTCGCAGAGCTCTGCTCCCCCTTGCCGCTGCCTGCCCAGCCCGACCCCCGTCTGCCTGGCAGGCCTCGAGTACAACCTCATCCGTGTCCCCATGGCCAGCTGCGACTTCTCCCTTCACGCCTACACCTACGACGACGTCCCCTTCGACTACGAGCTCGCCCACTTCAGCCTGAGGGATGAGGACACCAAGCTGAAGGTGAGCAGCGGGGTGAGTGCTGGCTGCGGGAGGGCAAAGCGGGGGTGCAGGGGCCCCGAGGCTGGAGCTGAGCCGATCCCTCTGCTCTGTCGCACAGATCCCCATCCTGCAGCGAGCCTTGGCCATGACCAAGAGGCCGCTGTCCCTGTACGCCAGCCCCTGGACCTCTCCAGCCTGGATGAAGACCAGCGAGTCCTTCATTGGCAAGGGCACGCTGAAGGGGCAGGCCGGGGACAAGTACCACAAGACCTGGGCCAACTACTTTGTACGGTGAGGAGCAGCTGGTGGACGGGGAGCCCGAGGGGATGGGGCCCCATGGGTGTAGGTGCAGGATGTGCCAAGAGGCCCTTGCAGGGAGTCCAGGGGTCTGCAGTGGTGGTGGGTGAGCACTGCGTGCCCCACGGTGTGCGAAGGTGGGTCTGGGGCTACTCACACCTCTCCCCCTGCGCTCAGGTTCCTGGATGAATACGCCAAGCACAACCTGACCTTCTGGGCTGTGACAGCGGAGAACGAGCCCTCAGCCGGGCTGATCAACAACTACCCCTTCCAGTGCCTGGGCTTCACGGCTGAGCAGCAGCGGGACTTCATCGCGCAGGACCTGGGCCCCGCGCTGGCCAACAGCTCCCACCGTGACATCCGGCTCATCATCCTGGATGACAACCGGCTGCATCTCCCGCACTGGGCCAAAGTGGTGAGTGCATGGTGAGCAGCTTGAGGAGCCACGGCAGAGGCCCGAGTCCCTGGGAGCGCAGCGTGCCACGTGTGGTGGGGTGTCTCCGGCAAGGACTCGGCAGCTCTGTCCTGCAGCGTGCGCAGGCCGTGGTGACAGCGCTCCGCCCGGCGTGCCCACGGTGTGGGGGGACTCGAGGGCTCTGGCAGTGGCTGACTCCTCTGCTGCCCAGGTCCTGGAGGATGAAAAGGCAGCCCGCTACGTCCATGGCATCGGCATCCACTGGTACCTTGACTTCATTGGTCCCATACAAGACACTGTGGTGCCCACTCACGAGCTCTACCCCGACTACTTCATCTTGGCCACAGAGGCGTGCATTGGGGCCCACTTCTGGGAGAGGGACGTCATCCTGGGCTGCTGGGAACGGGGGAATCGGTACAGCCACAGCATCCTGACGGTGAGGCCCCCCCACTGTCCCACACAGTGGGTCCCAGAGAAGGTTGCCAGCTCTCCCCTTCTCCGTCCGTCACCCTGGTATTTGGGCAGATGTCTGGGCTGTCCTGTTGCAGAACCTGAACCACTTTGTGTCTGGGTGGACTGACTGGAACCTGGCCCTGGACCTGGAGGGGGGCCCCAACTGGGTCAAGAACTATGTGGACAGCCCCATCATCGTGGACAGCAGTGAAGGAGTCTTCTACAAGCAGCCCATGTTCTACCACATGGGGCACTTCAGGTGGGCCGGGGCCCCTGGATGCTCCTGGCCGCCTGGACTCCAGCTCCGTGGTTGCAGCAGTGGCTTGTCAGGAGTGGAGCAGGACAGGCTTGTAATTAAGATGGCTCTGCTGGTGTCTGACTCCTTTCCCTGGGCTTATTTCCTGCTCTTGTTCTTGCAGTAAGTTCATCCCAGAGGGCTCCCAGCGTGTGGGGCTCGTCGCTTCCAAAGAGTCCAAGAAGACCGACCTGGAATACGCAGCTTTCCTGCGCCCCGATGGTGCAGCAGTGGTTGTGGTCCTGAACAGGTGAGGGACGCAGTTTGGCCTGCAAGCGTGGGAGCCTGTCCTGCCCGGGTCGTGCTGGCGCTCAGCAAGGTGCAGGGCCAGGGGGAGCAGTGAGCTCTTGAGCCATCAGGTGGCCCCAGGCTGTGGCAGGGGGAGGCATTAGCAAGACAGGACATTGCACAGGCTCCGACGCAGCGGTGAAGGCTGCTGGGACAAACCCGGGCCCACCTGCGTGCTGGTCCTTGTGCATCGCTGGTGTGCAGAAGCTGCTGCAGGTCCGGCTGACCTGGCTGTTGCTTGCTCTGCAGGTCCCCGCAGAACATAACCTTTGGGCTGGCTGACACGGTCGGTCTCATTGAGGCCACGGCTCCAGCCAACTCCATCCAGACCTACCTGTGGCGACGGCAGTGACCGGGCCAGCCACAGTCTGGACCAAGAAGGACTGGGACACTGTGGGACAGCAGCCCCTTGCCACCCAGGAGATGCGGAGGAGGTGGCTCACCGGTGTCTGTGCTGCAGCACAGCTGAGCGCCAGGGCTGGGCATGATCCAGCAGGCTCCTGCTGTGCACCAGGACTGGGTGGGTGCTGTGGAGGAGGCGGAGGAGTGAGCTGGACTGTAGCGCACCGTGCGTGTGCGGGAGGGCTGGGGGCACTGGTGCCCTGCAGGGTGGAGAGCCTACAGGCTGTGAACACCACTTCTGCTGCTCTGACATTAAACGCTGCTTCCGTCTCTGTCTGTGGTCGGAAGAGAAACCACCAGGTCCATCCGCTGCTCCCTGGGTGCCTCGGCTGGCTGCAGCTGGGCACGGAGCCCGGAGGAGTCCTGAGGGCAGGCTCAGCCCACGCCGGGGTGCTAAGCACCCCGCAGCAACCCAGCTCTGCTGGCAGAGGGCTCGGCTCCTTCTGCCCCTACTTGCTGATCACCCCCTGTAAATCCCAGCAGGACGTTGCTGGGGAGCAATCCAGGCTCCGGTTTGCTCCTAGACCCGCTTCCAGTTTCAAGTGGGTGCTGCCCAGTGGTGGGCTGAGCTGAGCCCGGATAATCTCTGGCTACCTTTGCGGAGCAGGTCATGCGTGGGCAGGTATGGAAAGGGGCAGGGCAGCTCTTCCCTGAGCATCGGCTGCCAGTCAGGATTTACCTGGTGCTGCGTGTCCCCAGGCACATCCCTACACCTGCTGCCTTTCCTGGATAAGGAGTGGGAGCAAAAGCCCTGGGCAGGGGCCGTGGCCAAGCCTTGGGGGCAGCTGACTCTGCTCTCTGTCCCTTGGCAAGGCTGGAGCAGCATCTGGGCCAGCCCTGGTGTCCCGTTGTTCCTGGTAGGGGTGCAATGGGAGGAGGGCAGCGCAGGGCTGCCGGGGGTCGCTCCGTGTCATCCCTGCTCCCCATATATAAATAGAGCCGGGCTGGAGCGCGTGCCTGCCTGCTGCGAGGCTCAGCAGGGGCGTAGGGCCTCGTCGCAGCCCT